GGATTAGATTGTAGTAGTTTTCTATCGTACGGGCAGGTCCTAGTTGTAAGGGTAGTATACTGTAATTGTCCTTAAAGTTATGTATTTCTAACAATTGTGTAGATACAATTGTTAGTCTAGAAAAGAATAGAGGATATATGTATGCGTACAATATATATTTTATTAATAAAAATTTTTTGTATTTTAGTATCTTAATATAAAAAAAAAATTTCTTTCCTTCTTTGTATATATATATATTTTTTATTATTATTATGTGTTTTATTGGTTGATTGTCCATATGCGTTGGTCTTCAACCACATATTCTTGTGCATCTTATAATTAAGTGGTCATATACAATGACATTAATTTCGCACTGCAATATGTTATTATTATTAAATTATTATATATGTTAATTTTTTTATAATATACTTTATTTATTGAGTAATTTCTGTGTGGTGTTTCTTCACCTGTCTTCTTAGTTTGCATTTATGAATTTTTTTATTACGTGTAGTTAAAACAGTTTTATCATTATTTTTTGATATAATATGTTTTGAGAACCTAGGTGTAATTTTGTTTCTCCTAGCTTCTTTCCTAAATACAATGTCATGTTCTTCAAATTCTTTTGGAATTTCTTTCGTCTTGTTTAGTTTGTCAATTATGTTAGATGTTTTCGTTTTCATGTCCTCCTGTACTTTTGGGTATAGTTCGTTAAGAAATTCATTAAGTTTCTGTAGGTATTCATGTTCATTTGAGAGATTCGTTTGTATATTAAATGTGTACGGTCTACCGAAGAAAAGTTCGTAAGGGGTATGCTTGGTTGAGGAGTGTATGGCATTGTTATACGTAATGAACGTTTCAAATAATATCTCCTCATGTTCGGTTGACAATTTTTTCTCTTTTCGGGTTGTGAATATTAATCTATAGATTTCAGTTAAGGTTGAATGAAGACGTTCTACTGGTGCATTGCTACTAGTCTGCTGAAAGGATGTGAAATTTAGATCTATGTTGAATTGTTTGCAAAAATCCTTGAATATATTCGAGTCGAATTCTGCGCCTTGGTCACATATTATTTTCTTTGGTATGCCGTATGTGCTAATATAATTCTTTAAATACTTTAGAATGGTTACACTAGTCCTACAAGGGAGTGTGTATCCGCAAGCGAATTTTGAAAATTTGTCTATTAATGTAAGCATTTGATTATGATTAATGCTAAAAAGGTCAATATGAATGATTTCTAAAGGTTTTGGTGGTATTTCTGGTTTTTCGTATTCTGGTTTGGGAGGGTTTCTATCGTATTTCAGGGTTTTGCATTTATCACAGTTATTGATGGTCTCTGTAATTCTGGCCTTCATATTAGGAAAATATAGCTCTCTTTTTAAATGTAGCATAGTTTCTTGGATTCCTCTATGATTGGAGTTATTACGATATTCCCTAACAATCTTTTCTTGTTCCTCTTCCGTTGTAATATCTTTCAAAACTTGTGTGCACCGAGTGAGTTTAAAAGTTTTGTTGCTAGAAAAATATTTATAATAAACTTCTTGAATGATATGAAATGTGTCGTCATCCGAGAATATTGCAGAAAGTTTGTTTGGGGGTATGAAATTTTTTAAAAGGTTTAGTATGACTTCTGCGTTGTATTCAGGCCTACGTTGTTTGTTCTTAAAAATTGTTTCGGTTTTCATTGGGGGACCCTCATTTGTGGTTTCAATAATGAATTGTAAATTAAATTCATTAATTGGTTTTTCCGAAATTGGGATACAATTATTTAGATTTTCCTGTATGGTGCTACACTCTTCTCTAACATTTGTACAAGGTGAGATGAAAAAACTGCAACCAACTTCAGACTGCTGTCATTTCTAAACCGCTCGTCCCACAGCTGTCAGATTTATTCTAGTGACAGCTCATTATATTGTTTACAAGCGCACAAAAGCATTTTGGTGAGAATTTTTCAGAAAAAAAGTTATTTGTGATGGAATTCAAGCGTGATAGTGTGATTGCTTTGCATTTGGCTGGAAAACCACAAGTGGCTATCGTTAGAGCCCTCCAGAACATTAAAATGAATAAATGTTTTGGTGTCTCGTACCATCAGCTCGTATACCATGATACTGGTAGCGTAGCCCGACGTCAAGGAATGGACGAAAAAACAAGCAACATCGGCAGAAATGGTTCGAAAAGATGAAAGAAGCGAATTGAACGAAATCCGCGTCGCAGTGGACGAAAAATGGTCGTGACTGAAACATATCGAATTATGCCAATCGGCAAATATTGAAAAATGAGCTTGGACTAAAGGCATTGAAGTTCCAAAAAGTGCAAGATCTTACTGATGCGCAAAAAAAGGTTAGACTCGAAAAAGCTAAAGAGTTGCTTCGCTTGGCCGAAAGTGGTGAACTGCCGAATTTGGTTTTCTCCGATGAGAAACCATTCGTTATCCAGCAGTTTGTAAACAAACAAAATGATCGTGTTTACTTGCCAGAGAGGTCAGCTGAAAATTTGCAACTTCTGTTGGCCACCACAACTCAAAAGCCGGCCATGGTGATGGTGTGGGCCGCCATAACAGCCGATGGTCGCTCGCCGCTCGTATTCATCGACCGTGGGGTCAAAATCAATGCGCAAATCTATCGCGAAAATATTTTGGAGGGAGTTCTGAAGCCCTGGGCACGCAAACATTTCGGCCGCAGACCTTGAACATTCCAACAGGACTCAGCACTATCGCACTCAGCACGCGCCACCCAAGAATGGTTAAGAAATGAGGTTCCTCGCTTCATTTCCACCGCACAATGGCCACCAAAATCTCCGGATGCCAATCCGTTGGACTATTGTGCCTGGGGTATTTTGGAAAGCAAGGTTGGCACTAAAAAATACCAAAGTGTCGATCATCTCAAGCAAGCGCTTCGCCGAGAATGGGACAAAATACCACAGAGCCACTTTCGGGCAGCGTGTGATGGTTTCATTGGCCGTTTGAAGGCCATAGTTCGTGCCAAAGGTGGCCAATTCGAACAATTCTAAACCGATTCTCAAATTTGATGTTATTTCCGACATTTTTTGCTTTCATTCAATAAAATTTAAAAAAAATGAAAAAATTATGGCGTTTTACTTTGTTGCAGTTTTTTCATCTCACCTTGTATATATTCCTTGTGGAGAGTCCACTGAATTATTTATTTTGACACGGCTTAAAGCATCTGCATTTGTGTTGGACTTCCCTTTTTTGTACACTATTTCGTAATCGTATT